ACTTCAACATATTATCCAGTGTGGTGAAGATGGCAAATCCTACCAAATGCATATTAGTGATGTTAGGGATACAGCTAGGGGAATAATTCTGGGATTAAGTCATCCTAATGCAGTTGGTGGTATCTATAATCTTACGACGAATACACCTGTCACTTTTTCAGAAATTATACCTAAGATGGCTGAAATAACCGGTTGTGATATAGTCAGAGTGAATTTACCAGGACCAGCGGTTCGGTATTCAACGAGCAATGAAAAAATCAAAAACGATATTGGGTTTGAACCAATTTATACATTTGAGCAAATGCTTGAAATAGCTGCTGAATATTGGAGAAAGAGGAATTCATAACATGAGATCCTTGAAGAAGATTGGTTTATATGGAGATCTTGTTGTAGTTGGAGGAGGTTTGGCTGGGGTCTGTGCCTCCATAACTGCGTCTAGGGGGGGGAGTCAGGTAATACTCGTTCAGGATCGACCTGTATTAGGGGGAAACGCTTCCAGTGAAGTGAGGTTGTGGGCACTCGGTGCTACTTCCCACATGGGTAATAATAATAGATGGGCTAGGGAAGGGGGTGTTATAGATGAATTGCTGACAGAGAATCTCTATAGAAACCCTGAAGGGAATCCTATAATTTTTGACACTATATTAATTGATGCTGTCCGATCAGAACTCAATATTACTTTGTTGTTGAATACCGCTTTATTTGAAACTAGTGTGAACAGCAAACAGATTGTTGAATCTATTCATGCCTTCAATAGCCAAAATGAAACACATTATGTCATACAGGCACCACTATTCTGTGATTGTACCGGAGATGGAACTTTGGGCTATCAAGCTGGAGCAGACTACATTATGGGCAGGTCTGGAATGGATAATGTGGATTCACTTGATTATCCAGAAGATTTTGGTGAGCTATTGGGAAGTAGCATCTTTTTTTATACACGCGACACAGGAAAACCTGTGCGGTACAAACCTCCTTCGTACGCTTTGGAAGATATAAGCCTGCTGAAAAGAATTGAACGTATAACACTGGACGCTAATGGTTGTGACTATTGGTGGATTGAATGGAGTGGAAAAAAAAATACCATTCACGATTCTGAAGAGATTAAATTTTCTCTTTGGGGAATTGTTTATGGTATTTGGAGCCACATAAAAAATTCTGGCAAATATCCTGGATCTGAAAACTTGACTCTGGAATGGGTTGGTAATATAC